CCCCCCCCCCCCCCCCCCCCGTACTCAGTTGTATATCTTAGTTGCAGGTCCTTCTAGTTGTGGGATGTGGGACATCGCCTCAACGTGGCCTGACGAGCGGTGCCATGTCCGCGCCCAGGATCCGAACTCTGGGCCATCGCAGCAGAGCGCGCGAACTTAACCACTCAGCCACAGAGCCAGCCCCGAGGGTATTGTTTTAAGCAAAATAAGCAAGACAGAGACAAACAAACCCCGTATGATTTCACTCATATTTGGAAGATAAACACACCAACAAAGAGAACAGATTAGTGGTTACCAGAGGGGAAGGGGGTCGGGGGTGGGCATAAGGCATAAGGGGGCACATATATATGGTGACTAACAAATAATAACGTGCAAATAATACTCCATGACCCAGAATGTCTTTTTTTTTTTTTTTTTGAGGAAGATTAACCCTGAGCTAACTGCTGCCAATCCTCCTCTTTTCGCTGAGGAAGGCTGGCCCTGAGCTAACATCCATGCCTATCTTCCTCTACTTTTTTTTTATATGTGGGACGCCTACCACAGTGTGGTGTGCCAAGCGGTGCCATGTCAACACCCGGGATCTGAACCAGCGAACCCTGGGCTGCTGAGGAGCGGAACATGTGCACTTAACCACTGTGCCACCGGGTGGCCCCCAGAATGTCTTTCTTAAGCACCTGGGAAGTATCTCTATAAAATGGAAAGATCCTGAGCCATTGTTCTGAAACTCAAACATCAAGGGAGACAGCTCGTCTATCTCCCGGGTCCCATGGGAGGGTGGGAGCCTAACGTCGGTGGGTGCCTTGTTCCAACTTGAGAAACTACTTCCTGTCATACAGATAAAAGAAGTTTGTTTTTTCTCCCAATAAAGCTAATAAGCTAACACAGATGGTCACCCCAATTACCAGCTAAAGTTAAGATAAACTCTGTGTGACATGTGGTCCAAGGAGCCCTCTTACTCGAGGACTAATTATATTTATCTTGAAAACATGTATAATGGGTTATATTTTCCTGTCTGCATAAGGGGGTGAGATTTTTTTCCCGATTGCAATTTCTTAGCAGATTGCTTGTGGGGTACATCACTTTCTGGTTTAATATTTTTTCAATAATGTGGCATAATAAGAAATATATTTGGTGTTTATCCCTGGTTCCTGGCACAGAGCTGCTAAAACCTTTGGAGTTTCCTGAGTGGTAGGAGTATTTTTTGTCATTCCTGAAAATCCCCCTTTTGATCATACTTGAATTTATGTAAAGAGGTGATGTAGGGTGGGCCCCTAAATAGCCTTAGGGTGGGGCTGGCTATCAGGAAGACCAAGTGATTAGAGGGTGGGAACTTCCAGCTCCACCACAACCTCCATTAAGTGGGGGAACTGGAGAGTAAAGCACTATAAAAATTCTTGTACAAGATGTGAGGAGCTTCCAGGTCTGTAAACATGCAGGGAGGGTGGCACACCTCAGTTCCATGGGGACAGAAGCTCCTGCACTGGGGGCCTTTCTGGACCTCACCTTATGTACTTCTTCATCTGCCTCTTAAACGTACAGTAGTCCCCCTTATCCACGGTTTCGCTTTCTGAGGTTTCAGTTACTCGGCCTCAATCACGGTCTGGAGGCAGATTATCCTCCTAACATATTGTCAGGTCAATAGTAGCCTAATTCTGGGTCACAATGCCTGTCATTGACCTCACTTCATCTCATCATGGAGACACTGTACCATCTCACATCACAAGAAGGGTGAGTACAGTACAATAAGATATTTGAGAGAGATCACATTGACATTACTTTTTTTACAGTATATTGTTATAATTGTTCTATTTTATTATTAGTTATTGTTGTTAATCTCTTACTGTGCCTAGTTTATAAATTAAACTTTATCATAGGGATGTATGTATAGGACAAACCACAGTATATAAAGGATTTTGTACTATCCATGGTTTCAGGCATTCACTGAAGTCTCGGGACATATCACCTGCAGGTCAGGGGCGACTACTGTAAATGTTTGCAAGTACTGTGAGCTGCTCTAGCAAAATAATTGAACACAAGGAGGAGATTGTGAGAATCTCTGATTTACAGCCAGTTTTCAGAAGCACAGATGATAACCTGGACTTGCGATTAGCATCTGAAGTGGGGTGCAGTCTCGTGGGACTGAGTCCTTATAACCTGCAGGATCCAATGCTATCAGAATTGAGTTGTTTGCTGGTCTTGGAAAACACACACATTGCAAATAATAAAAGTGTTTTGTGTGTCTGCTAATTTTGTGGAGACGATTTGTGGGTTGAGAGAAGATGTTGTTTTTATTTTCCCAACAGTCACCATGATCAAACAGCACATAAAACATTGACCAGCTTACAGTAGTTTTGCTTCCTTAAAACAGGTTATTGATTAATCAGACCTTGATCAATAACAGAAACGGCACTGTGCACGTGCTAGGCAGGAACCCATGGCCCCAGGATGACCCTGGAACCAAGAATCTTCAGAAATATTGCCACTGGAGCCTTTTACAAAGCAAGAAGTCTTTGAATAAGGATAATCTGGCTTCCAGCAGCTTCATTACTATAAATGGACTGATTTGAGACTAGCCAATCAGCTTCTGCCCCTAACTCCATAAATTTCACCCTGAACCCTGGATTGTGGAGACAGAGAGCCTTCCCTGTGTCCTTACCAGCTGACCTCACAATAAAGCTCTTTCTTTTCTCAAAAGCTGGTCCCATAGTGTTGGTTTCTATGCATGTCAGGCAGTGAGCCCTTGCTCAGTAAAAATGACACACTTGTCTGCTGAGACCAAATCTCACTAATTTCATCCATATCTAAGGCACAGGATTATGGGAAAAGGGCAATTAGTTAAACAGTATCACAGATTTAATAAGCCAGATCTATTGATATAAACTTTCTATTTTCAAGTATATGGGGAAACCATTCTGGTTTGAACATGATTTGGCCTGAATTTTATGTGAACCAAAGAAGCCTGACTTACAGCTTGTCAAACATACACTGTACATCTGCCTCAATCATTCCACCACAGTAAAGAATGTACTCTTTGAAGGAAAAAAAAAAATCATGCCTCCTTTCATTTGACACCAGTACTCTTTAAAGATAAAGCTGAATGCCTCCTTTCCCACAGTGCCATGGCCACATTGACTCGCTCTGTACATGTTGATCTGTAACAAAATATCTCCTTGAATCCTTGAAAGAATGTACCCCGTCATGCTTGATGTGTATCTCTTTGCTTGGAAATGGTATACAACTGGGCGATAAACCACACTTCTTCAGAGTGCTTTCTTCCCTTGCAAAGGCTGTACTCCTGGGTTTTTTTTTTTTTTTTTTTTTTTTTTTTGAGGAAGATTAGCCATGATCTAACTGCTGCCAATCCTCCTCTTTTTGCTGAGGAAGACTGGCCCTGAGCTAACATACATGCCCATCTTCCTCTACTTTATATGTGAGACACCTACCACAGCATGGTTTGCCAAGCACTGCCATGTCCGCACCTGGGATCCAAACCGGCGAACCCCAGGCCGCCAAAGCAGAACATGCGCACTTAACCGCTGCACCACCGGGCTGGCCCCTTGCACTCCTGGGCTATCGTCCTCAGTTTGGCTTGAATAAAACTCTCCAGAATAGAATTATTATTGACTATTTATGTTGACACTAGGATATGACAAGCTCGAAAGAGCAAATGATGCAGCAACTTCAACAAATAAATAATAAGAATTAAAAAGGTAAGTGGAAGGGCCAGCTGGCGGCGCAGCGTTAAGTTTGCACATTCTGCTTGGGTGGTCCAGGCTTCGCCAGTGCAGACCTATGCACCGCTTGTCAGGCCATGCTGTGGTAGGCATCCCACATAGAAAGTAGAGGAAGACGGGCACAGATGTTAGCTCAGGGCCAGTTTTCCTCAGCAAAAAGAGGAGGATTAGCGGCAGATGTTAGCTCAGGGCTAATCTTCCTAAAAAAAAAGACAAAGAAAAAGGTAAGTGGAATCTGTAAGTTAAGATTTATGAGACACAGCTACTGAAAGCTATCAGAATACATTTTGATCCTAATTGCAATTAATCTGATTTAAAAACACATTTTTGAGACAACTGAGAAAACTGAGCATTGATAACATATATATTACATTTAAAATATTTTTGTGTAATGACCATTGGGTTACAAAATAGCCCTGACATTTTAAACATGTAATCTCAATGCATTCCTATGCATTAAATCTCATGTCTGACTAAATAACCCACTAGTATATATGACAGAGGAAACAAGAAAGCTATGAAATGATAAATAATGGTGGAAGACTGGGAAGGTTTCCTCTGGCTTCATAACACAGTGTTTTCCATTTTTGCATATATTTTTAAATAGCTGTAACAAAAAATAGACTGTATCTGTCTTAGTTTGAGCTGCTATAACAAAAGACCACAGACTGGATAGCTTATAAACAAAAGAAATTTATTTCTCACAGTACTCGAGGCCAGAAGTCACAGATTCAGGTGCCAGCATGGTCAGGTCAGGGCATTTTTCAGGGTCATTAACTTCCTGTTGCATCCTTAACATGGTGGAAGGGCTTGGGGATCTCTCTGGAGCCTCTTTCATAAGGCATCATTCATGATGGCTCCACTCTCATGATTTAAGCACTTCCAAAAGGCCCCACCTCTTAATATCATCACCTTTGTGGGTAAGGATTTCAACATGTGAATTAGGGGGGAACACAAACATTCAGACCACAGCAGTGTCACTGTATCATAACTTTCTTTGTTGAGAAGGATGAAATAAAAAGGGCAGGAGGGTCCTTCTGGTTTCCAGTCCAGCATGTAAGAAGTTGGAAGTTGCCGCTCCATCCTAACAAGTAAAAAGATGAACAACCTGGAAAAATAAATAACTCCTCTTAGATTCCTAAAAGAAGTGCAGTCACAGGGCAAACCATTGTCCCCAGATAGGAGAGACTGACAGGCAAATACAGAGAATCACAAGTTACTGAAGCAGAAACCCACAAATTGAAACCATGGCAGGAGCCAGAGCCAGGGTGGGCAAACCTGAACTGTAATGGACAAATTGCTGGAGGCTCAGTGAGGACAAGTCTGAGGGCTGAAAACTCTGGGGGAACCAATCATGGGGAGCCCCACACTTTCACTGAGTTTTATCCCCTAGAGTTTAACCTGTTTCTCACAGTGACTATCAGAGAAAAACTCAATCATAGTTCCAGCAGAGGGAAAGGAAAAGGAACCTTTTTCAAATATGCCAAAGCCTTCTGTTCTGTACCAAGTCTGCCCCCAGGAGAAACTACTTAAGCAGAGCCTAACTTGCTCAGGTTTTATCAGAGCCCAAGTGACCTGGGGGAAGGGAAGTACCCAAACTCCAGTCAGCCTTATTCATGAAAGAAGGGAACAAAACCCATCCAACTCCAGCCCACTCTAGCCATCCAGTCTCACCTAAGGTGGAGATGGGACTGAAAGGCATGCATGAAGTTCAAACTGCAGAAGCATAAACTCACTTAAAGACTGACACTTGTGTTATGTGGCAATAAAAAAATTTTTTAGGGCTGGCCCAGTGGCACAGGGGTTAAGTTTGCACGTTCCACTTCTCAGCAGCCCGGGGTTCACCAGCCCGGATCCTGGGTGTGGACATGGCACCGCTTGGCAAGAGCCAAGCTGTGGTAGGTGTCCCATGTATAAATCAGAGGAAGATGGGCATGAATCTTAGCTCAGGGCCAGTCTTCCTCAGCAAAAAGAGGAGGATTGGCAGTAGTTAGCTCAGGGCTAATGTTTCTCAAAAAAAAATTTTTTTAAATAAAAGAAAGCTTCAAACAACAAACAAAACTTCCTAAGCTTGGAAACTTTAAAATACACCCCTAAGACCTCACAGGTTAAAGAGGACATCACAACAAAAAAAAAAAAAAAAAAAAAAAAAAAAAAAGACTGAGACCTAATCGTAGGGCTAACACTTACCCTTCTCCGCACGCCTCAACACCACACAATGAAAGGCTATTTACAGCAGTTCTTTTTACCCAGTACATCATGCCTAGCTTTCAGGAAAAATTACAAGGAATAAAAAAAAAAGTTTGAAGAGACTGAGCAAGTATTGATACTGGCTCAACACAAGGTTGACATAAGGGAAGCCATATTGTAGAAAAGAAACCATATTGTATCTTTAAATGACCTCTGATTGACTAGCCCAGACATGCTCTGTAGATTTTGTGACCCCTCCCAGCTGCCTGAAGATGATAACTTTTGTTCTTTTGAGTTCCTTAGGAACGTGATGACTTCGGGCAGAGAGCCTGTGCTGATAGCCATCATCAATGACAATTGAAAGATCAGGGCACAGGGTGTTGCTCTATTCTCTGATGCATATCCAGTGAAACAAAAGACTACAGGAACTGGGAACAGAGTCCAGCCACCTGCCCCACCTGGAGACCAGTCCCGTATATAACTGGCCTGTAGTCTTTGTTCTGTAAGATGGTTCTTTCAGACATGAGTCCGCCATCTTCTCACTTGCTAGCAAACTGTAATAAAGAAACCCCTTCTCTCCTACCACCTTGCCTCCTGACTATTGGCGCGTCTTGCGGCGAGCAGAGGACCCCCACCTTGGGTGGTAACAATAACAACATATGCTACCTTTGTAATGGCTATTGAAAATGGAAAAGACTGTTAGGAAGTCATTACTCTGTAAATATCCATCAATTTCTGGTCATTCTTGTTTTGTCTCTCCCAGGCACTTAGTGGTTGATTCTATTTGTAATCTCAGGCATGTCATTTCATACATAACCCCTTCAAAATGTGTTTCTAAATGCAAAGGCTCTTATATAACTCCAATAACTTTGTCAGATAAAATCAAAATATTTAAAATATGGTAAATTGTTATAAGTGCTGAATCTTGTCAGTTGTAGTCATTATTTAATGCAGATTGATTGTAATCCAGATGCAAAATTTACCTTTAGGCAATTATTAGGTGTGCTCTACAAGTCTTTTAACCTATATGTATCACTTCCCACTTTTTAATTCTTATTCTTGATGAAGTTGCTAAGCCATCATCCACTACAATTTTCCCAAACTAGATCTGGATTGTTCATTATTTCATACTGTTAAAAATGCTCACCCTTCTGCACACCAATGACTGTTAGCGAACCAAAAGTGACTTCACCTCCCGGTGAGTTAAAATCAGACTCTCAGCCAGAAGTAGTCATCACACAAAGCAGAACTTATTTGCAGCAAAGAAGAGGCTATGCCAATCACTTCCAAAGTTGTGGTTGTCCCAGAACATGGGAACGCAGGGGCCTTTTATTTGGCATGGGGCCTAAATATTCCAGAGGGAGAGGTGAGCATTCCCTTGCACAGGCTCATTTGGAAAACATGCTTCCACATACACTGCAGGTGATGGTAATAAGGCCGAAGCTCCTCCTGGAGTGATCTTAGCATTAAAAATAAAGCAAAGGTCACAGGCATTGCTCTTGTACTGGGGCCTGTTCTGGTGCAGGGTAGTTGGTGATTGCATCTCTTAAACAGTTAAATGCCTCCAAACCCACCCTTGAGCTCCTCAGGGCAATTAGTTGGTGATATGACTACTAATCCCCAAGGACATTCCCTTGTCCTCTCCCTAAGGAATTGCAATTAGTCAGCCATTCCTGAAAATGGCTAAATGTGGGCTGACGCCCTCCTGTAAAATTCATCAACATCTTGCCCTCCTGCTCATGTCAAACCCCTGCTCACATGTCCAAGTGCCCAGGTTGTGCCAAGGTGCACACCCAGCTCCCTGATCTGACCATGAGCACATCAAACTCGCAGTGATAGGAGTGTGGTGGGGGTGCAAGTGTGTTCTCTTCATGCCAGGCTGCACTGGCCTCATCTCACTTGGTCCATGAGGACTAAGTGATTGTGTGTGTGGCCCAGACATGACCATTGGGTGTCCCTATCATGTCTGTCCAAGAAGTCTCTATGGAGACTGCTGTGCTGTGTCAGTACCTCCATCCACCTCACAGGTCCCTGGTGTGCTGTGCATATGCCAGTGTGTGTAGTTCACGTGTGCCACAAATCTCTTGTTGAGGATGTGCTAAATGCAAACGTGGCTCCAGGCTGCGCTAAGGGGCATCAGCATTCCATACCAGTTACCCTTGTCCCTAGGGTGTATGTGAGGAATCCCCAAGTTGTGCCAATGTATCACACACCTGTCCCACTGTGTTCCACAGCTGTGTTACACATCTTTGGTTGTGACAGTGTCCCACCACACACCTAGTGCCCTAATGCACACCTGGCACATAAGGGCTGTCTGCAGTGTGGAAGCAACAGACACACTGTGTTTCCAAGTTTGTCACCATCACAAAATTGTCATCTGGAAAAGACCTTAAGCATCCACCTCATAGACATCTAGTATACAGAAAATATGGGGGAAAGTGAACATATTAAACGGAATCAGAGATTCAATGAGCTAAACTGAGGATGTGGCAAATACTAATGAACAAATGGCTTAGCAACGTCAACAGACAAATAAGAAGAAAGAGGCTTCCTTACTGCCTCTAGTAGCCACGGTGGCCATGAGTTTATCGCAGTGGGCTTTGGTCACTGTGGCAGCCAGAGTGGCCACCATCTTGGGACTCAACTTAGATTCAGGGACGTCTTCACCCGCAGCCTTCTGAAGACTGTAGCTCCTGTGTGACACAGTGGAGGCCACAGGAAAGGACTGTTTATCCTATCTTCTGGATTCTGTGATAGTGTTTTTTGGAATTTAGTGAAACTCTATATTTTGTTGACTGGGATTGCAGTGGCATTGGCATAACTCTGGTGAATGTATTCATTGGTGAAGCTGAGTTAGCAGAAATTCCAAAAGGCTATGTTCCAGGACACTGGGAATATTTCAACCATCCTCTATCAAGATGAACTTCCTGTACTTTCTTTGATGTTCCTGGGAAGAATCATGAAAAAACAATGCCTATCCTTTAAATGAAGCCAAAAAGGCTGAATTACAGTTAACAACTGAAGGTATAAAAACTAATGTGTGCCAGGACTATGATCCCCATGTCAGTATCTGGGCATTGATAAGAAACACTGATTATTCTCCAAGAGCAACCCCCACAATTAATCTTTCATTTCTCCAAAGCATATTCTCTTTAGGGGAAAATAAATTAATATATTCTGTATTTTTGCTCTGTGTGATGAATAAAAGACCCTCTTCCCTTGCTCTATTTCTCAATGTTGGTTCAAATTAAGGCTTTCTGGGTAGGTGTGATTTCAGTCTTTTTTCCCCTAGCTTTATTGAGGTACAAATGACAAATTAAATTCTAAGACATTTAAAGTGTACTTCATGATGATTTGACATATGTCTACATTGGGAAAGGCAGATTAAGGCTTTTGGGGTTTTGGCTTCCTCTTCTGAGATTTAATTTTTTTTTTAAACTCAGGGAAATTGGAATTTGTGAACTGCTAAATGCATAACCTTGAAAGGCTGTTTTATTTATCGAACAAATGGAAGTTAGAGAAGTCTAATTATATTAAGTACCAGGAACTATATAGTGCATACATATCTGTACAAATTTAGACATCTGGATTATTCAGGGGCACCTCAGGATTTTAAATTAAACAATAAGTATTGAATCAATTACATAAAACATTAAGACCTTAAACAATTTTTTTAGTGAAAAAAAAGAGGTAAGTGGTACATATAGGTGAAAAGACTTAAGACATACCTGATAAAAGCCACCCAAATATATTTTGTATCTTGATTGGAACCAATCTGCCTTAACCAGCTAATCCAGTTAACAAAATTCAGGACTAACATATTTATCATATTTTAAAATATTTTTGTGTATTCCAGTTATCAGAGTTATAAAAGTGTCCTTATGGCTAGAAATGCATTCTGAAGAGGTTATGCATGAACATATCTGGGATTATAGGTAAAATAACCCACTAATGTGTATGGGGATAGACACGAGAACCACCATGAAATAATGATGATGAAAGATTGGGATGGGTTCATGGGTTTCATAATATTCTTTTTGTTTTATAGAAATATTTGAAAATAGCCATTACAAAAGGTGGAATATGTCCTTGTGCCAGAAATTTTATGTGTGGAGAAGGAGGAAGTGAAAAGGGCAGGAGGAAACTTGATTTCAGGGGTGCAAACATGTACGGAAACATCCAAATGTACACTTTAAATATGTGCAGTTTAAGTCAATTATGCTGAAACTGTTTTTTTTAAAAAACATTTAAAACTTGCCACTCTAACCATTTTACTATTTTATTATTATCTATGCTCTTGAGGGTATTTGTGGCTACTGTATCACTACTTTGGAAAGAGAACATAATGGTCTACTACTGGAATATCTTGCCAATTCCATGCTCAGTGACATCATTTTGTTAGGTTGAAAGTGACCACAACAGGAGTATTTACACCAGGGAAACTGATGGAGCCTAAAAACCTAGGCTTGACGTAATGTATTATTGAATGTTTTAGACTTCAGAAAGTGGTGGAGGATATGTTAACAGTGCAGATTAAACTTAAAACTGTATGGTGTAGGGGCTGGCTTGGTGGCATAGTAGTTAAGTGCACGTGCTCTGCTTCAGCAGGCCAAGGGTTTGCAGGTTCAGATCCCAGGCACAGACCTACACACCACTCATCAAGCCATGCTGTGGTGGCATCCCATATACAAAATAGAGTAAGATTGGCACAGATGTTAACTCAGGGACCATCTTCCTCAAGCAAAAAGAGGAAGACTGGCAACAGATGTAAGCTGAGGGCCAATCTTCCTCACAAAAAAAAAAAAACCCAAAAAACAAAAACTGTATGGTGTACTTAGGCCTTGAATTGTACATAAGACAAAAAACTGAAGGAACTTTCCTTCCAGTACTCAAAAACAACTGTTCCATATGGCAAAGAAGTCACTCACATCATTGATGAATGTGTGAAATTCCAACTTATGTCTTTGCTGTTGCACTTTATTTATTAAATAAATAAATTCATAAAAAGAAAACAGGCAAAAGATTATCAGCAGATATTTTACCAAAGATAAACAGAGGGCAAAGAAACGCATGAAAAATACTCAACATCATGAATTCTTTCAAAAATAGTGTTCAAGACAAACTGAGTTGCCAGACACACATACCAATGGCTAAAATTAAACAAGATTGACCACATCATGTGTTGGCAGGGAGGAACTGGAATTCTCATACACTGTTGGTGGGAAGGCAAAAGAGAACAACCACTTTAAATCAATTTCACGTTTCTTCAAATGTTAAACAGGAGGTGACGTCAGCATCATGGTAAAGTGAGTTATTCTCTTTGTTTCTGCCCTCTAAGTTATAACCAATCGGACATCCAATGACCAACAGAGGATTCCCTACACAGCGAAACAGGGTGCCTAAGAGATGCATGCATCTATACATCTGAAAGTGGGTGGACTGGCCCCAGGAGGCAGTGGAATTAGAGGAGCAGCTCCCTCCCCCTTCCCCTGCAATGGCAATCCAGGGTACAGATCCTCACACTGGTATGCACACCTGTGAGTGGATGTTGCAAGGACAGACATTGTGTGGCTTGGTCCCTGTCCCTCCCGTAGCAGACCTGAGGGACATGCCTTTAAAAGCAAACATTGTGCAGACAGAAACAGCAGGCATTGCTTGGACCCTGTCCCTACCCCAGTGGTTCCATCATGGGCACCTGTGAGCATACACTATTGTAGAAACACGAGGCATGGCATAGGCCCTGGACTTCACCACCCAGCACAGACAGGTGTGCACACACCCTGAGAATTCGGAACACAGCAGAGCCAGTATCCCAGCCCCCTCCTCTTCCTGCGGCATTGGTGGGCCCTTTCCAACAGTGGAGACTATACAAAACTCAGATTTTCCCTGCTGGGACAGGGCACCCTGACCTGAGTTATAAAAACACCCCAGCTAGTGCCAGGACCAGAGGCTGTAAAAGCAAGCAGCAACACCCATCTCTCTGCTTAGCCCCTGCCTCACCCCCTCAGCAGTGGCAGGTGGAACCAGAGGCTTCAGGACCACAGCAGAACCAGTGACCCAGTCCCCAGTGGCAGCACCCCTGACGTTGATTCTACTAGCAGCAGGGGCTTCATCCAACCACCTGGGACCCTGACAGCAACAGCAACATCTGTGAACCCAGTGGCCCTGATAGTAGTACAGCCAGCACCCCCAGACACCCCAAGAGCAGCAGCACAGATGGTCACAGGGGAGCAGGATCTGAGCCTGTGGAGAGCTGACAGAGAGCCAGCAGGGGAACATAAGACCCAGCCAACCCCACAAAGAGCAGAAGTGTTTGCAGCCTGGTGAATAGGTGGTGACACCTGAGACTGCAGCAACATCATAAGCAGCAAGTTACCAGCAACCGCAGAGGTACAGTACAAGGAGGGCACTGACAACACCTCTAGCAGAGGCAGCGGAGGATGGAAAGTGCAGGCTCTCAAATACAATCAGAAGCAACTCACAACCAAAGTAACCAAAGCTTTACCCAAATAAGAAAGGTAGTTAATACCACAAATACAGTGCCAGAGGATCAAGGGCCATGAAGAACTATAGCATCACAGCAGAACAGAAAGGAAATAACAACTCTCCAGAAGTCAAACTTGAAGTCACAGGAGATTACAGTCTTACAGAGAATTCAAAAGGTGTCACGAAGAAAATCAACTAATCTTCAACAAAGGAGTCAGGAACATACAATGGAGAAAGGAAAGTCTCTTCAGTGAATGGTGCTTGGAACATTGGACTGCCACAGGCAAAAGAACAAAAATAGACCATTATCTTACACCAGACACGACAAAAAATAACAAGTGATGGAGACAATGTGGAGAAAAGGGAATCCTCATACACTACTGACGGGAATGTAAAGTCCTGCAGCCACTACAGAAAACAGTATGGAGAGTTCTCGAAAACTTAGAAGTAGAAATACTATATGATCCAGTTACTCCATTGCTGGGTATTTATTCAAAGGACATGGAAACACCAAGTCGAAAACATATATGCACACCTATGTTCATGGCAGCTTTACTCACAATAGCTAAGACTTGGAATCAACCAGAGTGCCCATTGACTCATGAATAGATAAAGAAGATGTGGTATATATACAATGGAATACTACTCAGCCATAAAAAGACAAAATCATGCCGTTTGGAACAAAATGGATGGAGCTTAAGGATACTATGTCAAGCAAAATAAGTCAGACAGAGAAAGACAAATATGCATGATTTCACTCATATGTGGAAGATAAACAAACAGATAAGGAAAACAGATTGGTCCTTACCAGAGAGGAAGGGGGTGGGAAGGGTGTGAAAGGGGTAAAGGGGCACATATGTATGGTGCCAGATAAAAACTAGACTTGGAAGTAAACATGATTCAGTCTACACAGGAGCTGAAATAGAATATACACGTGAAATTTACACGATGTTATAAGCCAATATGACCTCAATAAAATATATTTTTTTAAAGTTAAAAGTTGGCCAACACTGTAACAGTCTGACTTATTAACACTAGAGAAATAAAACATATATCCATATAAAGAATTGAATGCAAATATTCATAGCAGCTTTATTTGCAATACTGCAAACCTGGAAATAACCCAATGGTCCCTAAACAGATGAATGGGTAAACAAAGTGGTTATCCGTAGAACAGAATATTACACAGCAATAAAAGAATTAACTACTCACATAAGCATCATTGTTGAATCTCCAAAGAATTATGCAGCATGAAGGAAACTGGTAAAAAAAAAAAAAAAAAAGTATACACCTTATGATGCCTATGTTAAATCAGAGAAACATGAACTAATCTATTGAAAAGGAAAGTCAGTCAATGATTGCCTGGAAAGCCAGGGAAGGCAGAGATGCTGGGAGCCGTGGCTACATCATTTGATCGGCTGTTTGACAGGGTCCAGCCGATTAATGCCTAGGGGTGCAGGGTCGCCCCTTGGTGAAGAATAACCGGCCAGCCCCTCACATAGTTCTGAAACCTGTGCTGCTTCTAATTGCCCTTCATTCCTTTTCCTTTCCTAACCTCCAGTTTTCACTCCTTTGGGTGGCTGCTTGGGAGGCACTACCTCCTGGGAAAATTAGATATAGTAAGAGAATGTGACCACCGGCAGGTAACTTTCAAGATATTTTTCAGTTAATTATTGGAGCAGCACACAGTCCCATTTGAGACAATCAGAAAGGAATCCTGCCCAGATAAGATGTCGAATTAGGTTTATGGCCTCTGTCTGGTTAATGTTTCCTTCTCCCTCCAGTTCTTTGTCTAAATATATATGCATCGTCCTTCCAAGTTTGTTGGTTAATTGGATGATGAAAAAGTATCTACATATTATTCTTGACCTTCTGCTTTCTGTTAAAATGTTATAGAGGTTTTCTCCTAAAAGCAATAAATAACAAATAATTGATGAGTAGAAGGGCCGAGGGGTGCAAGAATGCCCCTCGGTGAAGAAAGGCCGGCTGACACCCCTGAAATTTTCTGAATTATATGCATGCTTTCTATCAAGGTTATGTCTATACTTATTTCTGTTTTTTATTCTTGAAGATGTATAGTTTAGCTTAGCTTTTCAGCCCTTTACTAACAAAATGATACTTTCTCCGGCAGTGTGCTTAAGGGACTGTTAGCTCCACAATCTAAAAGACAAAGGAATGCTTTCACCCCCTAAAGGGCGCAAAAATGTAAAGATGTTTAACTGCCCGCCGAGAGTCAAGATAGCCCTGGGGATAAGACACCCTGGAGTCGCCTTTTGTTCCCATTAACCATCTACACTAATGGTGTAAATGATTGAGGGAGGCAGGGATGGCTCCACCAGGATGTAACCAGACAGACTGCTGTCCTGTCCAGAGGCCTGGACCTTCTCTCTTTGATTTAACTTTACCATGAATTACAACAGATGCCTAGGTACCTATCTCTTTTAGCTTAGAGACAACAAACAGTAGTTAATTGTGGAGAAGACTACCATTAACCTTATGCTCTATAGAATAGAACGCTAATAAATATTCTTGTGCTCGTTTTTTACTTCCTTATCTCTCCCAGAATATTCGTAGAACTATTTCTGTACTAATCCTGAAAAATATATAAATGACACGTGCACAGTAAAGTCGGACTTGCTAACACCAACCCAAGTCTCACGTCCCCTTTATTTTCCCCTCATTGCGCCGACGCCGTCCATCCCTCAGGAACCTGGACTCAGCCGGGGCGGGACCCCGGCACAGAGAGATTATAAAAGCACGAGGTAAATATGTGGGTGACAAATAAGTTCATTTTTATGAGTATGACAATAGTTCCACAGCTTTATACATGTCAAAGCTTACCAAACTGTACACATTAGATAAGTGCACTTTGTGCCTGTCAAACATACAAATTATACCTTAACCAAGCTTTCAAGTGGTTCCTAATGAAAGCCTAGGTGTCCCTGTTTTCTTAGAACATAAAGTTGGCAACCCTATATGGACCTCACCATCTCTCTCCTCACACCTTGGGAGGGGCAGCCTTGCCTCAGTGGCAGCAAATAATGGCAAGCAATGAAGACTGCTGCCACCTGAATCAACAAGAAAGCTGGCTGAGTCACAAGACCCATCCTTGGAAAACTGGATCACCCTTCTATCTATCCTTGTTTTCTTCCCTGTAGAGCAATGGCCAAGAGGTGAACAGACCAGAGAGGCTACGGGAATTCACCAAACTTTAGATGATTTTCTCTGTCAATGAACTCAGCTACAGGAAATAGTTACAAAGGTTCTGAGAATTTCTGTACACATGGATCACACAAGCGACAGTACCAGAATATCTATGAACTTTTAGAAGAGGCACATTCCACCCTAATTTACTGCAATCTTCTCCACTCCTTAATCCAGGGTTTCTGTACCAATTACAATTCCAGCAGACCCTATAATCTTAGAATCAATGACATTAGCATATAAAATTTTGTATATCATGGCAAATGGCTCCTCTGCAGGTCCTGGGGAAGAGGTCTCCTCAAAATGCTGGGAACTATGTGTTCCAGTTGTTAACAGAAGCACAGGAGGTTGTCATAACAAAGGTCCCCCTGGGGACCTCTGGCCTCCCACAAAATTGTGGCACCAAACCTCAAATTAGGACCATGAAGCCCTCCAGACTTTCTTTCAAGGCCTTGGGCAGCAATGCAAATTAGACCAATATTGGACGAAGAGCTATTTCTGCCATCATACCATCCCTTCTGAAGGACAAAAAGGTTGGGATCCCCAAAGAATGTGGTCACCCCTACATGCTAACACATCACAATTCTGCTTTCAAATCACACCACAAAGTGAACTATTAAAGGTGCCAAACCAAAAAGACCTTTACTGGGGTTGGCCCAGTGGCACAGCGGTTAAGTGTGCACGTTCTCCTTCAGCGGCCTGGGGTTCTCCCGTTTGGATCCCAGGTGCAGACATGGCACCACTTGGCAAGCACAGGCATGCTATGGTAGGCATCCCACATACAAAGTAGAGGAAGACAGGCACAGATGTTAGCTCAGGGCCATCCTTCCCCAGCAAAAAGAGGAGGATTGGCAGCAGATGTTAGCTCAGGGCTAATCTTCCTCAAAAAAAAAAAAAAAAGACCTTTATTAAAAGAACATAAACTAGACCAATGTCATCAGTTCCTAGGTTGATGAATTAGAACCTGAAGAGTCCATCACAAGCCTGATGTGAAAACAACCATGTCCTTGAAAAAGGTAGTCCTTCTTAGTAAGTTGAGGATGGGTCTTCCTGACTGAAACTGGGTCAGGTCTATTCTTTAAAGACAGAGAGAAAGGAACGAGGATCCTGCAAAGGGCTCATAATTTCCTCAAGCAAATGGGACAAGAGAGGTCAGCTTCTCTGACCACATCAGGGTGCCGACTGATGTACACTGTTGAGGTGTGCCAGGGAGTAAAGGAGAAATGGCTTTAGCAACAGAAACTGCAGTGATATAAATCTGGCAATAGCCCTGGGCATGTTGGTTAGTGTATTACATCTCATTAAAGCCTCCCACATACCTGAAACTTATGAGGAACCTTATACAGTCTATTTTCAGATAAAAGAAGCTTACAGTCAGGAAAATGTCTTTCACACACTCTCCTCCAGCATTATTACACTGAGTGAAGAAAGAAATATTCCTAGCACATTTAAAGTTTTTCTCCAGTGTGAACTCTCCGGTGTCTAAGGAGGTTAGATTTGCGGCTAAAGGATTTGCCACATACACTACACTCATAAGGTCTTTCTCCAGTGTGCACTCTCTGGTGTTGAATGAGGTCAGATTTGTGGGTAAAGGGTTTCCCACATTCACTGCAGTCATAAGGCCTTTCACCAGTGTGACCTCTCTGGTGTTGAATGAGGCTAGAGCTTTGACTAAAGGATTTCCCACATTCACTACATTCATAAGGTCTTTCTCCAGTGTGAACTCTCTGGTGTTGAATGAGGCTAGCACTTTGGCTAAAGGATTTCCCACATTCCCCACATCCATAAGGCTTTTCTCCAGAATGAACTCTGCGGTGTTGAATAAGGCCAGAGCGTTGTCTAAAGGATTTCCCACATTGACCGCACTCATAAGGTCTTGTGCCAGTATGAATCCTCTGATGTTGAATGAGATCAGATTTGCGGGTAAAACACTTTCCACATTCACTGCAGTCAAAAGGTCTTTCTCCAGTGTGAACTCTCTGATGTTGAATGAGGATAAATTTGCGGCTAAAAGACTTCCCACAAACACTGCACTCATATGGCCTTTCTCCAGTATGAACACTCCGGTGCCGAATGAGGTTAGAGAACTGTCTGAAAGACTTCGCACATTCACTGCACTTATAAGGCTTTTCACCACTGTGAATTCTCTGGTGTTGAATGAGTTCAGATTTGCAGCTAAAAGATTTCCCACAATCACTACACTCATAGGGCATTTCTCCAGTGTGAACTCTCCCATGTCGAATGAGGTTAAAGATCTGTCTAAAGGATTTCCCACATTCACTGCATTCATAAGGTCTTTCTCCAGTGTGAACTCTCTGGTGTCGAAAAAGGCTAGAGCTTTGTCTAAAGGACTTCCCACATTCAATACACTCATAAGGTCTTTCTCTAGTGTGAACTCTCCAGTGTTCAATGAGGTTAGATTTGTAGCTAAAGGATTTCCCACATTCGCCACACTCATAATGCTTTCCTCCAGTGTGTTGCCTCTGGTGGTAAATGAGTTTGGATCTGTGGATAAAGATTTTTCCACATTCACCGCATTCATAAGTCTTTTCTCTAGTGTGAGTTCTCCGGTGCTTAATAAGGTCAGAGACTTCGCTAAAGAATTTCCCACATTCACCACACTCATATGGCCTTTGTCCAGTGGGAACTTGCTGGTGCTGAACAAATCTGTAGTTGCAATTGAAGGCTTTCCTACATTTGCCACCCTCATAAAGCTGTTCTCCAGAGCAGACACTCTCATGCTGAACAAGTGTATGGTTGTGGTTGGGAGCTTTTTCACATTCACCCCTTTTGTCATGACTTTTTCCACTGAGAAAGGCCTGCCCACTCTCACTGTAACTGTGTGGTGTCTCACTGTAGGGAACGGCCTGGTGTTGGAGAAGGCTTAAGGTGGCCAGAGGGTCCTCACCAACCTCCCTACAGCTGAAAGGCTCCCCTGACACATACAAGCTGCAGCTTGTCACAAACGAGGCCCTGTTCACATCTCTATTCCAGGGCTTCTCTCTACTGTCCTGCCTCTGTTGCTGGTGAAGATTTCCACTGAAACAGAGACATCTCACACATGTGCTGCCCAAGTTTGGTTTCTGCAAAGGGTGTATTGTTTGGTGCTCAGCGTCATGCAAAATATCTTTCAGGCCTAGGATGCACATCTCACAGGAGTGGGTGTTCTGGGTGGATGGACCGGTTGTGGAAGCTCTGACTTGTAAGTCTCCTTCTGCAGATACATTCTGCTCAGAAGGAGCATCCTCATCTTCTGCTCCATGCCAACAACCTGAAAGCAGAAAAAAGCTGAGGAAA